AGGGGGGAACACACAAAGTTGAGGGAGAGCTCGAGCCTTAAAGTTTCTCCCCCGCCTGCCCGGGGAGCGGAGGTGCCGGCCCGCGGCCGCGACCCCCGCAGCGGCTCGGAAATAAAAGCCGCGACTCCTGCCATGTGTCTCCCTCCCCCCCCAAGTCCATTCTCTCAGCCTCCGAGGGTCCATTTTTTCCCCCTGCCGAGCACACACAAGGCTGCTGAAAACGTGCATTCAAATAGCTGGGATGAAAAGGGGGAAGGAGGAGGGGGAAGAAAAGAAATGCAGCCGCGGGGGCCGGGCCGGGCCGGGCCGGGGGGTCTCTGAGGCCCCCCGAGTTTCATCCTGCTCCAGCGGCTGCAGCTGTGACACGAGCCCCGAGCCCGCCGCAGAGGTGCGGGGCGGCGCGGAGGGGCTGCCTGCCCCTGCAGCGGTGCACAAGGCGCGGGAGGGGAAGAAACATGTGCTGGGAAAAAATCCTTTCTGGGTAACGAGTCTGCGGGGGAGGGAGGGGGGTCGCTAGAGACCAGAGGTTAGGGGAGAGCAAGAGCCGCCGCGCTCCGGCGGGCAGGAGGCTCGGGCTGGTGCCGCCGCTATCCCACTTGCTGCACTGGCAGCGGCGGAGGCTGAGGCTGAGGCTGGGCTTTGTGGAGTGCAGCGCTTGGCTCGTCCTCCTCCCTCCCTCCCGCCCTCTCCCCCTCTCTGTGTGTGTATGTAGCGCAGGCGGCTCTCACTGCTGCAGCGTCAGGGAAGAGCCGCCGAGAGAGGCTCTAGCAGCTCACACCACTTTGGGCAAACTTGCTGCTTTACTGCTTTTTTTCCCCCCCTCTCCCTCTTCTGATTGTTTGATTTTTGCGAGTGGGAAGCCTCGCCGTTGCCATTGAGCCCCGGCGAGCCCGAGCCGCCGTGCGGGGAGAGCGGCTGCCCCGCACTGCTCGCGGACACACTCGAGGGGCTTCGCTGCACAGCTGCCGGTTTCCCGCAGCCGAGGACCCCGCTGCCTGCTCGCCTTTCGTCTGCAAATAGGACTCAGCTTTTTAAAAAATTTTATTTGATATATATTTTTAAATCGCATCACCGCTCCCCCCCTCCCTCCCTGTCTTCCGCCTCTACGGATGTAATTGAGAATCTGTGTGAATTCACGTGGGGGATCCAGTTACAGCTTGTTCCGCTCCGGGGAGATTCAATCAGAATCGCCTTTTGGACACGCAGCCTGGTTACTAACCTTTGCACTGCAAGGATCAAGTTCAGCTCCGGTCCCCGCATTGGGACGGGCAGGGAAGCGGCGGGAGACTGCAATCTCACTCGCGAGCCGCCCCGCGCCGCAGCCCCGCGGTGCCCGCAGCCCGGCGGCGCGGATGCAGGTAAGGCGCCCGCCCGCCGACTGCGGCTGCACGAGCCCCAAACTTGGGACCGGCGGG